GTATTTAGTGATTGGGTGGAATGAATTGGGGGCTGGATTGGTTCAGTGAATGATTGATGAGTTCCTGTTCTTTCACGTTGTCACTGCAAGTAAGCAGTGCTATCCACAGCTCGCACTAGACCTCACTACGCAGTGCTAGACCATTCTTTGGACATCACTGAAGCTTACAGTCCGGAACTGACCTCGTTTTTTTTTGAGTTGGTCATACAAAAAGAAGGCCACTGCACTCAAAAATACTACTTGAGGAGGTGAAGTCGACCAGCTTTGGTGGGTCTTTGGACATGTAAAGATAGCAAAAGATGTGCGAAAGTTCCACGGGGCTTCGAAGGGCACTAGGAATGCCGATCGCACAGGGCTCGACACAATGCCGTTCGCGAGGTGAGAATGTCTATAGGAGTCTACGAGGGGTTGTGACGTTTGTGGCGTGGACCTAGCTGAAGGCCCTCGGGCAAGCAGAAGAAGTTGCTGGAATCTATCCGACAAATGCCCACTGTTTGGATCATTTTGGATCCAGTGAAAGCAGCCAAGCAGCGCAGTCTTCGAATAAGATTGAATCAGAATTGAATTGGGTTCCGGTCAGGTGGGTTTCATTCCACCTTGGTGGAAGCTGGCTTTGAAAGAAGACATACATAGTTATATATTACATTCTCATTATTAGTACATTATTATATTCTGTGTTTAAACATATATATATATACAGCTGAGCAATTACCTGAGACCCTGAGACATTCTGGGATAAATACTGCCATTAAGAGGAATGAATTGTGAGGGTCTTGATGGTGTTCTTCTCTCCTAGCAAGCCTTCTCGCGTCTACCTCCGCGTTTTGCTCCGGCTATCCCATACAAACCGAAAATTGGAAGCCTTCGCTTACAAGAAGCAGATCCAACGTTTTGCCTATTTGTTGTAAGCAACTCAAGGCCGCATTTCTTCCTACGATGGGCGATGAGCCGATGAGCACCCTCAAGATTTACTATGGGGAGTCTTCCAGTTGTCCTCACCATTAATGCAGGCAACTGACAAAGTCCGTCCCAAAACCATGAAATCTCGAGAATTCCACGGGGGGCTTCTCTTTGGAAAAGTGATGCTTCTAGTGCTGCTTCTATAAAGGAGGAAATACTCACCGTATATCCAAAAGTTCGAGGGATCCAGATCCAATGTTTATACACTTTCTTGCGTTTCTTCGCTTGAAAGGTTGGGTTCATTTCCCCTGATTCCACGATCTTCGATGTCAAACAATCTCAAGACTTCTTGGAGCAAAAATGGCAGAAAACATCGAAAAAGAAGGCCATGACATGAATGACATATTGGACTCTTCCTCCCCGCCCTCTCCTTTGACAGTAGGTCAAAACCACCAGGAGACGCTCCTGGTTGACGTCACTCGTTCACGGCAGGCGGACGACCGGTCGACCGGTCGACCATGCTGTCTTCCGGTATACCCAGAACACCATTCCCAGGCAGACAGTACTATAAGGAATGGTTGAAGCTTTATGGAAAACCAGGAAAACCAGTGGAAACACCTGGATTGTTTAGGAGTCTGAACTGGAACACCTGAAGTTTAACATTGGTTCTGAAGTTTAACATCGGCTCGTTAATGGATTCCCTTTTTCCAGGTCGATGGTCTCGTCCTTGGAACCACAGCTCGCCCGGTCGACTCGGTCCACCCACTCCGACCCAGGCCGGACCGGACCCGGTCGGAGCACCGTCCAACCGTCCAAGACTGTCATGGGACTGAGTCTATGGGGACTCACTAAAGGAACCTTTGTACCCTTTGTACCCGGTTTGCTCACTAAAGGGACTCACTAAGACTGTACCCGGTGATTTCGTCACTGGGAACTCACTGGTCCGGTCTGGGTGTCCCAGGTAGGTCCATCGTCGAAGGAGGTGGTTGTCTCGGTGTCCTAGTCGTGTCCGGCCGGGTCCAAGAGGTCGGGGTCCGGCCGGGTCCAAGAGGAGCGGTTTTTGGGCGGGTACCGGGTACTCGGTACGTGAAAGAGGGGGTGGAAAGAGCCCGGGAAAAAGGTGAAATACATGATGAATAGGTGAAAATGGTCGAAAGGATTAGAAACAGATAGAAACAGTACATACTCCAGGCTTTTGTTCATGGTGGCATGACATACACCGCTGGCCACCACTTTAGGCAGGAACTTGGAACGCAGAAAAGGACCATGGCTGAGAGACTGAGAGAGTCTAGAACGCTAGTTGCAGCATGTCACCCTATGGCGCACGCCCATGGCTACATCATCCTTTTGACCGCCCAGCATGTGTCGAACCCAGCCCAGTCGCGTCAATGATAGAGCAATGCGATTGGATCGTTGCTGTAGCGTCCGACCCGATGTGCCAAAGGCGATTTCGCTGGTGTGCAGGTTGCTCTGTGTTTTTGGGAAAAGAATCTTTGAGGATTGAAACAACCAAAGAACCTCATGCTATCTAAGTCAGTGAAGTCTACAGGTAGCTATACCAACTCCGCCTTTACTCTGTATGTGTTGGCCCCCCAAAAAGGGAATGACCAAGGATTGCGGTCGGCACATCGCACATTTCGGTTGGCAGAATTCGAAGCGGTCACGGTCATCACCGTCCCTCCTCGGTAGGATCGTTGGTCCACCGGCCTGCTGATACAGGTTGGTTGAAGGAAACCTAAAGCAAGTGTTGAAGGAAACCCTACAGGATCCTACAGGATCCAGTTTACCAAAGTTGGTCATGCAAGGTCATAGAAAAACCATGACTCAAGGGAGGGTAAGAGACCAGGTTTGGACCTGGGTCAGACTGGACTTGTAGCATCACCTTCCTCCACTGTCACAGACTTGACAGGCCCCGTCATCAGACTTGACAAGCAAGCAGGGCGAACATGACCATCCTACATGGTGTAGCAAGCAGATGGTGCTTTATGTTTGGAGGAAGATAGCTTTATGGCTGAACCATGCTGAACCACTTGGATGAGATCGACTGTTGGTGCCATCCTTTGGTTGGTGAAGCACTGGTCGGGAGCAGCAATCAAACATCAGTTGCACTGCAACTCATCCCTGGAGTTACCAACTTCACTCCTTTTGTATACGAGTTGGATGGCTTAGAGGGCTGGGTCAGCAGCGTAAATATACGGATACACTTCTTGATCATCCACGTTCTACGTTCGCTCGATGTCAACAACATGCCCAACAATGAAATGGAACCTACTCAGGTAGATCGAAACCGTGTCCATTGGACGCCCCTTAAGCTAAAAACCATTGGACACCCCTTCGAAATCTAAGTGTTTGACAAGTGCTGGTCCAAACCCCATGTTTTGGTTGGAGGTCTCGCTCTTTCTTTGGGAACCGGAACGAACCGAGCTTCCACGGCTTCACCCGCACCGGTCGAACCGAACCTCCCCCGGTTCCACCGGTGGAGCTGAGTTCGGAATATCCGAAGGCCCCTCTGCTGTAGAGTAGAAACAGGACCTTCACATGGGTCGGAATCGGAATCCGTTGGTTGGGCTTCTCTGAAGAGTGCGCACTAAGACACGATCTATAGGAGACTTCACAGACCGGCAGCGATGATTTGGCGGAGACGCTGTGACTCGTTGACCTGCATGATCTGGATGTGTTGGGTCTGTCCCATTACCTGCAACAGTCCGTAAACAAGTATCACGATCTTAGAGATGGAAAGGCCTGCAACTGAGCCATCATCATCCACTGGGCCCTGGTACAGGGATGTGAGATGGATGCGATATACCCACTGCGATGTGGGTCGAGCAAATCGACTTTTATGCTTTGGTAGAAGAGACTGGGCAGTGGGATGTTGCAGTGGATGCTGTGAACTGACCCCACATCCATCTCGGCCATGAGGCTCGTTTGTTTTCCACTCCACTGTTTGAGCTCAAACAGGGCAATTCACCAAGCAGTGGGAGCAGCCAATGCGAAGAGACCGCAGAGACTCCGTGTTGCTGTGCCAGAAAGAGCAGCTGATCGCGCTCGACCTTTTTTGGGAGTCGTTTGACCTCAACCATTCAGTCAACCCAAACAATGTAATGAAATGGAGTGTAGCTCTTGATTCATAACCCCGCCACATGACATGGATAGAACATGATAAAGCAGCCTTTTCATATATGAGGTTTTAGAATGAATCAAGAGTCTACATTAGAGGTTAAATATATAGACTCTGATTCATAAAACCTGGGTATAACTAAAGGTGTTAGAATACTTAAATGTTGACAATCCTACGTGGTTTCAGACGACGACCAATTTTGCCTAATGTGATTGATATAACGCGCACTGCTTTGCACAGATATGAGGCAGACCAACATTTCCACAGACCTAATCACACTAATCTCCCAATCACACTTGTCTTCGATGCCGACACGTTCACCTCATGAGGTTCCCACCTTGCATGTTATTTCATGTCATCAAAGACAGTGCCGTCAGAGTTTGCACAAAGCTCTTAAGATACATATAAGTCATTTGAATCAGTTCCTTGCCCACTGCTCCGAATTAGGTCAATGTTCTCAGCTACACAATGACACAATGCCTGTCGTTTGCTGTTCCTTGCCTTCATAGTCCACGGTTGGTTGAGTAGATCGACTTGGAGCACCTGTTTTCCTCGGTTCGGTCATCCCGCTATGTGTAGGGACCATACCCTCACCAATCCCTATGGTGTTGACACCGGGAAAGGCCTGTGAACGGACCCGGCGGAGAGGACCTGAAGACTTCGCTCGACACAAACGACTCGACAGCTTCTCAAGCACTTTTGTGACAATGAGCAGTGATTCGAAATGACGTCCAGCTGCTAGCTGCTTGCCAAAGTTCCATCTGCCCGACATCCAATGTGACATCCACATCCAAGAACTTCACAATGCGAAGTCCATATATATATATATAGTTCTTAGGCCCTCAAAAGATCCAGCGGATAGCGCTATGACCCAGCCGTTTCGACCGCCCAGTTTCGGCCCCACCCAGCCACTCCCACTGTTGGGTTCTGACAAACACCATCCACGTGGTCGTTCTGACGCGGCGTGTCGTTCCTGGGTGCCATGGGCTCGCCATTGAAGGCGGCTGAGTCGACGGTGCTGGGGGGCTGTTGGGGGGACTCGAGGTTTGTCTGAGTTTGGGAGGGCTTGGAAGCGGAGGGATGAGATGTTTTTTGGGCTTGGATGGATCCCACCACACCGAGAATTGGGAAACGTGCCAGAATTTCCCGGACTCGGGTGGACTCGGATGGATGATTTGTTGAGCAGTGGCTCTGGATGGCTTTGGGGTGGTTTGGTTTCAGGGACATTTCTCGACTCGTGTAGATCAGAACGAAGTGGAATAAGATGGAATAGGGCCTGGTGGACCTGGTGGACCTTGACAGAAAGGCGTTCATCATGTTCCCCACCTCCTGGGTGGCTTGACTCGACAGCCAAGTTGGGTGGGATCGCCAGCCAAGTCGACCAGATTCAGTGGGCTATCACGTCCTGGACATGATGAGCTCATTTGATGTTCAACTCGCATCAGTGCCCCTCCCTTTGAGGGAAGGACACGATTTGCAAGGTACCAAGTCGTAAGAAAGGAAATCACGTTTGCAGTTTGGTGCAGTCACTCATGTCCATGCTCATATAATACTTGCGTATACGTGCTATGCAGAAGGAATTCTTGCAGACTATCGCGCCGGGGTCTAATTCAGCCCAGAAGCTTCGGGCAGTTCAGATGGCGACGAACAAGTCTTGAAGATTCGTGGGTTGTTCTGTCGTCAGACCTCGAACAAAGACACCCCCGTCTCTCCAGGAAACTGGTATTTAACCACGACCTGGTTACCTAAGTGCTAGTCTCCTCCAACAGTCTTGTAGTTTCTCCATGGATCTGCAGACGATGAAGACACTCAGAGATTTGCAGCGCGCGGACCTGGTGTGAAGAAGAGTTCATGAAGGGAATCCTGAGGAGCTACAAAGATTCGATGTTCAAGTTCCAACTGGAAGACTGGGATGACCTGAAAAGAGCGAGCCACACTCAATTGAGACCTCGGGTAAAGAAGCCTTGGAGAACATTTACCATCACGAGCTCATAATGATGCAGTCCATTTCCAACAAGACTACAAGAGCCGTCTCCGAGGGAGAGGAGCAGCTGCCAGACATCTGCCAGACCAATACTACATCTCAAGACCTCCAGAATTACATGTAGTTCAGCGACTTTGATGCCCTGAGTGACGGTGTTGGTTTGGCATTCTCAGGGAGGCTCGCATGTGCAAGAGACCCCGTGTTGTTCTCTCATGAAGTGACTGGCCTGCTCAAAGGTGACCTCCAAGTGGGAGTCTCTGGCAGGCGACACTACAAGCATTGGAGCTACAAAAGTCAGTAGATAATTTGCCCCTGTTTGGAGACCAAGCCGCGATGCAACGTGCTGCCCTATGAGAAGTATTCAACGATCTGGCCATAGTACGGAAAGGACATGCCAGTGGAAGACATCTTGATCCACTACCGAGATCGAAAGTGGAAGAACTGGTGTGGGCAGATGAAGGGGATGAAAAATGAGAAACGGTACCCCCAGAACAAAGAAGGCAGAAGTTGAGGAGGAAGGTGAAGCCTGGCCTGGCCGTCCACCAAAGCTGACCAGACCGTGCGTCAGCAGGATCAGAAAGTACGCCCAGATCAGAAAGTATACGTCCTGGGGGACCAGCTTCAGTTTGGCAGACGTCACATGGACTACTCAGTGGCTGCGAAACTGGACAAGCTTCTTGGGTTAGTTGTGGATACGTTAGCTCGTAGCAGGGCACCTCTCCATTGTAAGTTGCAGGCAGCAGGAGCATCAGCGCCACGCCAAATGCGCTCCATTCAGCGGCCATATGTGATCTTGGTCCAGCTTTGTTACAGCATCAACAAGCCTGCCTGATGAAGGCGTTGGGTTTGCAGAAGCCTGAGGCCAATTCAGTGGTCCTGTCGCCCTTGTTTCTTGTGCTTCGGGACTCAGTGGTCAAATGTTGCATACTTGCGGAACCTGATCTTGCATGTTGGTTTCTCCAGCATATCCAGACTCTCAGAGGTGTGTGTCCAGGACCGATAGGGCCGATAGGGTTTCTGCTGTCGCGTCAGTAGGCATGCGAGTTCGACTCTTGTTAGGGGACCGTTGTCCTCACTCAGGATCAGTTGCATCCGTCGCTCCGTCAGTTTTCTCCCATTTAGATGTTGCAACTGCTTCTTTCTGCGGGAGGCCAGGCAGGCTACGCATGTTAAACACGTTGCTCGACGGGTGAAGCGCAGTGAACACATGCATAATCCAGCCCTCCTGGTCGGTCCCAGCAACAGCTGGATGTTCTTCATGATCTTGACTGGAACACTTGTCGTTTCCCAGTGTGTGCCGATGGCCATTGGCTTTGTGCACCAAAACATGCGCAGCCTCCCTGGTCTGGACGCGCTTCCTGCGTCTCGACGTGGCGGCTCTAGTCCACCCACCGAGTTGATCCGAGTTCCGTGGCCGAGAAGGAACCTGTTGACTCGGCAGCGGACCCAGGAGGGATCTGTTCCAGGCGTTGGACCGACAGCCATCGGACCATCTCTCAGACTGTGCCAGTTGGGCAGCGGCGCATCCCAACGGTTTGCCCCACCGAAGTCCTTGCTCAGAAGCCCCTGGACTGGTGAAAAAGGCGTGATTCAGACAGTCTTACTTTCTTGGCCATGATTTCGTGCATTCGGAATCGCTGCGCACACAACTCAAAGAGTGCGCATCTGGTGTGATAATGACCTTGTGGCACGCCGTATGCAAGGACTGCAGAGGCAAACATGGACACATCATAAGCACAGCAAAGATGCCGATTTGTTGGTGTCTTGTAGCAGACAAGTGCTCGCATAAAGATCACTGTCCATGTTCCATACAATGCGTTGTCAAAACCTGAACAATGAATTTTGGAGGGAAATGCTGTTGCAGACCGAAGTCGAGTCACCAGAGAATACTGTCACCCAGCTGTTTCGTCTTCAGTGCAGGCCGAAGTCGAGTGTTAGGTGCTAGCACGCTCACCTATGCACAGAACTAGGACCGAGCGGCGAAGTGAACAAGCCGCTGCCAGGCCTGTTTGTGGTTGTACCTGGTCAGGCGCGGGAGAACGAGCATGGAGGGTGGGTTTAGGCCCAGAACATCATGTTTGTGGGTTGGTAAACCCAGCCCAGCAACTGCCCCAAGATAGCACTTCAGACCCTAGTTTGATTTAGTCTGGTTTTGAGAGTGATTTCTATGTTCCCATGGATGAATCCCTCTCTGGGCGGTCTCCAACTCCCGGTTCCCGGTTCGCCAACTCCAAACCGGTTCGCTTGGGCCCTTGGAGACACCGCTGAACCGGTCCCGTTTCTTCGGGGGGGTCGAAGAACGGTCAGGAGCCAGGAAAGGCCCCGGGACAAAACAGGCAAGGCCACGGAACGGTGTTTCTTGAAGTAGGTTAGTGCCAACGACTTGACACCTTGATAGGTTGCATAGTTATGGCAAGGAAAAAAAGGAACGGTTCTTTTTTCATCCTCATCCTCAGGGTGCCGTCGGGGAAGATCTTGGATCTGGGTGGCTTTGTTTGGATCATGGGAATTGGTTTCAGCTTGGATCAAGGCGATCTCATGCGATCTCCATCCTTCCATGCAACACTTCCAGGTCCCACATCAAAACACAGCGTTCCACGATCTCACCACCTCCACTGTTCTTCCCCGGACGCGACGGCCTCACCGGCGACTCACCGGCGACGTGGCACGCCGACCTAGGCGGGTCGCTGGGATCGCCGGGATGACCTGCACATCGACCACGCCGTTGGTGTGGAAGATCCAGCAGGCAGGTAGAGACTGTGGCGGAGAATTGGGCGGCGTTCTTTCGGTGGAGTGTGTGTTGCTTTTTCTTTTTGTGTGTGTTTTTCCGATGTGTTTTCTTTGAGGTTTTTTAAGGCGTTATTTCGGTGGAGTGTGGTTCTTCTTGTGTTTTGCTCATGGGCCTCATGGGTACTAAGTCAAGTCCTTATTAATAAACCACCCCTATAAAGAGGTTTTTCAATTCAACTGGGGGGTTAATCAAGAGTCTATATTATACATTAAATGGTACCAAAATGATCTAACATGTACTATTACTAACCCAAACTCGATTCAACACTTTTGTCCTGGCTGTCTTTAGTTTTGGTTGACTTCTGGGTAGGCTGCATTCGACATCCAACCCCAATGTTCAAGAGATTCCGAATCGCTTCCCCAGAGGCCATGCGGCACATGGCCGCATGGAAAACTGCCGCAGTAGAGGTAAGAAGGTGTTGATCCTTCAGATTGCAGGGGACCCCACATCTTGGAAGGGCTACAAACTACCTGATGCCCTCCTTTCTGTTGGTTCTAGCCTCAACCCGATACTGTAGATAACTATATATAAATGTAGTAATAAATATATATATATATATATTGGGTCTGTCCTATCACCTGTAACAATCAGTAAACAATTATTACTATTTTTGAACAAGGCCTTTACTGACCATCATCATCCACTGTTGCATGTATTAGGATAGAAGAACCATGGATCATCCACTGTTACTGGTATCATCCACTGTTCCATACATATTCCAGTCCCATGGATTTGTTGGGGATGAAAGATGGTGGAAGGCTTCTTTGGGCACCCCAAAGTTCACCCCCGCCCTGGCGTCACACGGGGATTCATCCGGGTGAAACACCCGGATTCTCCGCTGACGGGAAAGCCTGGCAGAGCCTGTCGGCCCCCAAAAGCAGATCTTGGATTTGGGGATCCGTTGGTTCCACATGACCCCTCCGACCAGAAGAATGGGACTGGAGCAGTTCCTACATTGGGGTCATGTTCATGGGGTAAATGAATGTATGTATATGACTATTCCAGTCCCATTCGTTTGGTTTGGGTTGCATAATTATTCTCGTGTCCATGTAAGGTCCAGGAAGGTTCCTACCCCAAAGAGAAGGAATGCCACCTACTTCCACCCTAAACCCAATAGACCCCAAGCGCCGAGCCCTTTCTCCGTTGGGCCGTGGGACGATCTGCCGCCCCCAGGGCCAGCGCTTTGCATACATTGCCCGGGACGCCGAATGGAGAGGGGCAGCAATGGAGATGGGCCATGGTGCTTCCGATGGCGGAGATGAAATAGATGAAAACACTTATTTTTTTTACTACAGGCGCAGTGCAGACTTCATTTCAGCCCGGAAATATTCCGGAGCTCGAGGTGTTGTATGGTTGTTCTTGGTGTTCGCTTCTGAATTCAATTTGTTTCAGGGATGATGTCATGAGTCGTTGTTCTGATGTTTCTCCAAGCCCAGCATGGTATTAAGTATTTGTGTTTGCTTGGTCTTGTGGGACGTGATTAATATGGTCCGATGGTCTGATGGTCCTGGGCTTCGAGATCGATTGAAGGCCAGCACAGGCCGAACAGAAGAAGAGGCACCAGCAGAAGAGCCACGACCGACCTGCAGAATAAGCACATCCAAGCACCAGCAGAAGATGCTGTGATCCAAGCACCGCCACTTGTGGTTCCCGCCCACAAGAAGACCGGCTGCCTTCCAGGAGGAGCTTAGGGTTTCGATCATGGAGGTGCGAGAGGATGAGAGACGCTAGCGACTGGCAGAAGGGCCAGTCGTCGCCAAGAGGAGCACTGTCTTCCAGCCCCAGCGCAGGAGTTTGTGGAGGAAGGGAGCAGAATTTGCATCATCCTGTTGCCTCGAATCAAGAAAGGCACCCTCCAAATACCGGTCTTCGCACCAACAACACCTGTTAAGCTCGGCTCGCGAGCTTCGCATTGGCAATGCGGAGAATCCAAGGCCGATTGACCGGGACATCACCGTTTCGAGCCCTAGTAATACGAATGCTCCGTTCGTAGCGATGCCAGGAGCCCCAAGTAGCTTCTTGTTCCTAGTAGTAAGGCCAGGAACCCTTTGACCCTGACCCGGGAGCAGAAGATTGCGCACGGCTTGCAGGTCGCTGAGCAGGGCCAGAAAAAGCGGAAGATCAGACTCCCTTTGGAGGACCCAAGGTCCCAAGGTCGCCAAGGTTCTGACGCCAATAGTTGTTCAGGATGAGCCAGTGCAGCCTAACAAGAAACAAGACCTCCAGGAAGGAAGAGTCTTCATGCTTACCTCACAGCAGGCCACAGGGCTGATGTCCCTGCTTCCTTGTCTTTGCACCTTGTGGACCAAGCATCACAGAACTTCAAGAAGTTCCGGTTGGCTCTCCACTCCACTGTTTCAATCTGAACATTGCATGTTTTGTGTTGAAGCCACATCGGCCTCGGCCGCTGCCTGGATCATTGGACCTTAGTGGACAGGGAGAGATAGTGAGAGAAGCTCCGGGCTTTTGATCAACAACTCAGGCCCTCACGTCAGGAAGCGAACCACGGTTCGCAATACGTCGCAATGGCGAGGGCCGCTGTTCAGTCTGCTCGAGGTGCACACACAGCTCCTCCATGGCCCTGTAAGAACTCAACAAGCCAGTCCTGCTGCGGAACTCTGATGGCCCTGCAAGAAATGCTTGGTGTGCAACGGAATGAGCCCTTTGTTGCTGGGCAATGGTGGGCAGTGTTCAGGCCGAGGGCTTGCAACATGTTGAACTCCCAGATCTCGGTCGTCGGAATGTAGACGGCCATGGACGAATGCATGCTTGGCAAAAAGACACCTCCTCCCGCGTCTCCTCGAAGCTTCGGGGAGCGTTGTTGAAAACAACCCGAACTTGCCAGAGAGGCCGAAGATGCCTCCCATCTTGACGATGCCATGTAGTACCATGTAGTACCAGAGTTGCCTGGCCTAAAGAAACGTCAACCATTTCTGAAGCGTCAACATCCGCCACTCCAAGGCTGGGATTTACAACCTGCCTGAGAGCAAGGCGCCTCCTTTAGAGGGAGGATCCATGGCAGAGGCGTGCGCGGCCGGGGGGCTGGGCGTCCCACCTTTAGGGTGGGTGTGGGCAGCAAACGACTCAGCCAGAGAGAATGGGAACCATACAGAGCCGTATTCCCATAAGAGTTCCTTTTAAACATCTGTTCCATGAAGCCCAGTCACATGCCGCATGATAGATTTCTGCCGCTGCAAAAGATGGTCGCTCAAGAGTCCCAATTCAATGCCTCACGAAACCCACCGGGGTGCGACCAGCGGTTCCGACTGAAAACCTCTACTCAAACCCGGATCTGACTGGTTGATTCACCAGTGCTGCATTCTGGCTGATTGGATGAAACCAAAATATACCAAAATGCCAAACGTATTTTCCAGCTTAATTGGAAGATCCGTGGACACCCTGCGCTTCCCTGAAGCGCCTGAAGTCCGATATTGACCAGATGATCAGCATGTATGGTCAAATGCTGGATGTTAGTTCCGATTGGTCAGGGTAGTTGAGTTATATACAGCAGTTGTTGTTTCCAGTTTTGGTTGGTTTGTTGGTTTTTCTTTTGGGATCCAAACAGACTCAACAACTGAGCTGATCGCAGTGCACGTGGGACCCTGGCTTAGTCAGTTGTTGTTGTTTTTAGTAGCTCAGTGGTTACAGTGTATCACACAGTTTGGTTTGCGGTTTGGACCGGTGTGAAAAATCCACAAAGTACCACAAACCCTTGACTTCCAGAGGTGGTCTGAGGATGTTTAAGGATAAATGTACCCTAAATATCCCATAAACCCATCGTTTTAGGGGTGAAAGCCAGAGATTTTGGTGGAATTTCCCCTTCAAATCCATTGATTGACAGGCCCTCAGCTGTTGTGACATTGCCTACTTCCCCACGGGCTGCTCCTTGGTCCGGGGGCCTTCTCTTTCGGCACAACAGAGCGGATGCGACCAGACGAATGGGACGTGGAATGGATGGGCTCATGTCATTTCCTGCGGGTTTTCTTGGAACTGATTCCAGTCCGGATGGTCTGGGAGGTCTCCAGCTTCTTTCGCGGCGGTCTGAAGGGAACCCCAAACGACTGTCCGACTGTGTGTCTTAGCTGTTTTGTTTTGGTCGTGGCAGTTGGAGAACATATAGATAGATAAAGTTGCAGTTCAGAGTTCAGACTTATTATGTAGCAGATGCCTGAAAAATCCTGAAACTCGGGATATTGAAGTTCTGTCTTGTACCGCATTCTCCATATGTTCTGTACTCTGTCGTTCGCTCTTTCTTTCCAGGGCTTGGTGGTCGGTCGTCAGCTCCAGCTCTTCGCGTAAAAACGGCAGTTCCACAAAGAGAGAGAGAGAGAGAGAGTGGGGGGTTGACGTCAGTTCTTTTCCGAGGTACTCCGTTTTGTGAGAAGGCCTACCACACCATGCAGGAAGCCACCTACCAAGCAGGTTGGCACTATATGCTCATATCATTCCAGTGGATCCCAGTGGTACTAAAATGTCGTCTCATTTGGTGACCAAGACCCACGGACCCACCATCTCCTTTCAGACACCGATGGTTGCTTGGGTTCGTTAACAGAGCGAGAACCGGTCGTTTTCCCGTGGAAACCGAGCGGATTCCGTGGAAACCGAAGAGACCCCAAATGGAACCATTTGGAAGACCACTAGTAGGCGTTGCAGATTCGATTTTTGCTCTTCGAATCCAAAAATGGAACCACCCGGCCAGAGGACTACTCTTCTGATGGGGTTTTTGCTCAATCCAGGTGCCATTGGTCATGTTGTGGTCCGGTTCCTGGGGTATCACCCGAAAAAACCACGTTATAAGCCGTGCAACCGTCCCAGGCGGACAAGAGCAACGTCACTGGAGTGGGCAACTATATGGACTGCCCGGCAGATTGAGCTGATTTCAATTCCATGGATACATCATCCGATGGCCCCTGGTTCACACGATTTCAATTTCATCGTCGATTTGCTTTGATGCTTTGCCACGATTTGCTGACCTTTTGCGAGTGTTGGTGATTCATGTATTGATGGCTTCAAGTGTCGGAATTGGAAAGGAATTGATTCACCATGTTATGCTCTCAGAAAGTGTTCAGATGTTCAGTGTGCCTCAAGATAGTTCCGGCGAACTCTCTCAGTTCAATGTAGAGACAAGATGTTCCTGTCACTGGCCAACAGCAAGTCGAAACACAGATGCTATAGCTGCTATAGGCTGCGCTCTCTCTCTCTCTCTCTCCGAGTAATGCAACAGCAATGGCCTTTGCAAGGTCCTTTGTACTAAATCGCTTTGTTTGTGAATCGCTCAGGTCCCCGAGCCCCACACTTGTTCTGGTCACCGAAGTCGTTCACCGGGCCAAACAACCCAACATCTCCAGCGTATCCGTCCACACCTACTTGGCTTTTGCAGCGCAAAGCAAGTGACACGCGATCCGAACGTGCCAGGCTCATTGTGACTACTATCCAGTGACGCGAGAGAAGGACAGACCTGGTGACCACGGGATGTTGCTCTTAAGACCCCAGGTCAGAAAGACCTGGAGAGCTCTTACCCTCCGAATGCCAGGCTGTAGGGGGATGTTTTAGATGACACACTCCATCATGGTATACCCATGTCTATACCATGATGATCCATGATGGAGTTTCTCAGTGAAAACCCATAATGTATCAAGGGTGGCGTCCGCTGGTTCTTTGTTTTTCGTGCGGAGAATCCGCTCCTCCGGTCTCCTGTCCTCCCGGCAGACCGGACCGGGCGCAGTCGGCGGGGACTGTGGCTTGGAACGATCAATCGAGGTTTTCTTCGGGTCTATGGGAAGAAAACTCACAGACCTATGGATGATTGCATAGACCATGGATCTCATTTTCCATAGATCATGGTCATGTGTGGAAGACCCATTGTATGTCACTCTTCTCACACATGGATGATCTGGGAAGACCCAAACAGGCGATCAGATCGATCAGCCTTGCGTTTTCGAAGTTGTAGGTTTCAGCATGAAGCACGAACGAACATGATTGACTGTTGAGTCCAAAGTTGTGCCGGCGGAGAGATTGGGCCATCAGTGAGGAGATGCGCAAGGACGTGTCCTTGCTTCTCGGTATGAAATAGTGCATGGGCTCGGCTACAGTGGCATACAGTGACACTCGGACGAGCTCAAGCAGGAGGCAAGCACTGATAGACTCTGAAGCCATTCTTTATGTTCAAATCACTTCTTGTGGACCTTCGTCTCTGTCAGAGCATCTTGGACAGCAACAAGCCATCTGCAACAAGCTGACCCGCTTGTGATTGCAGATAGGGCCAAGTTATATGGCAAGCTTTGTCCGAAGGCGGCATTTTGCGGCCACGACTGTGAGAGGAACTGGCGCGATGATCATCATTACAGGATGCATGGTATGAAGAATATGAGCGTGGGCAGTCTGTGGCTGCTTGCATTTGCTCTGGGATGAGGAAGCACCGAAGCACCTACACGTCATTTCTGGACGGATGAAGCAACAAGGGATTCACACTCCAAGTTGTTTGCCATTGTCCTCGTCGCACCGTAGCCCACAAAAAGAACCATGAGCTGGGTACATGTCGCACCTTCATGTTGTTTCTGGATTGGGTCATGTCGCACCTTCCATCCGCAAAGAAAACTCCAGGTTGAGCTGGTTGGTCGTCTCGCCTCCTCAGCAACCTGATCAAGATGTCATTGTTAGTCTCCTTAAGTCTCCTCATTCTCAGGGCCATGCTGCCAGTCTGGTTCAGAAGACTGTGTTTGGCGCCAGTGGACAGGAATGCAGCGGCCTCTTGAGTCGAACCTCCAAGTTTCAGAGACATGTCTTGGCAACACACAGCCAGAGCTAGGCTAAGCTAGGCTCGGCCCGCTTGGAAAAGAACCTTCGACTCTCCACGTGCCTCCATCGTTCATTTCCACATCTTCTCGGGTGTCGATCCATGGGAGGGAGTACGTCATGGGGAAATGTTTACCATGGGTCGATCCAGTCCGCTCTGCTCGCAGCTGACCGAAGCTGCTTCCCGGGTTTGGTCAACGTTGGAAGCTGATGTGAGTGGTGTATTTTTCATGATTTTCTCTAGGGATCCAACCATATCCTCAGAAGGTGGTTGGGGTGGGGTTGGGGGGTTCAAGAGAGAGACCCACCCAATAGGTTTGGGATGCCGATTGCTCTACTGTATATTTGGTGGAAGGAGGGGGTCAGAACACCTGGGAGGGTTCCCTATTCCAGGAGGGTTCGAGTCATCCGAAGCAAACGACCGGGGCAGACGGTCCCCACATGCAAGCTGGACACCTGGTGTCATGCAACCGGTTTGCATCCACAATGGCATAGCAGGATGGAAAAGGGCCACCTTGTGTCTATATGCATAGACATGTATACTACAGGCTTGCAGTAAGTCTTATAATGATATTGGTTTCGACCCTGTAAGTCAGTAAAGATAGAGGTAGTGAAGGGAAGGCTCTCGGAAACTCACTGTTAATCAGTAAAAGGGTGTGCGAACAGTCTGAGTCATAGTCGACTTGTATTGACATATTGGACACTATATGTATGCCAAACCAAACACCGAAAACCCTCCAACCACCTCCACATCACCCCAATTCGACTCAGAAGCCAGACACATGGTCTTCCTCGCTCCCGGCGCGAGGACACCATCGCGGAGCGGCTCTTGTCCACTCAGGTGGTGCGTCTCAAGGCGAGTCCGCGGACGACCACGTCGTCCCGCGGACTCGTCCGGGCCGCCCCGGACCGGAGCTTTCTTTTTCTCGGGCACATATTCAAGTGGTGAATCCCGGAAACAAGATTGCTTTAGAGATAGAGCTTTGAGTTCTGGAGCATTAGAACGCACGTGTTCGACCTCGATTGAAATTTCGGTTCGACCTGGACGTTGTGGATCGGGGTATTAAGATGACAGGACCAATGCCGATGTGCTTGTTTCGCCTGGTGTGGATCGTTTTCTTTGCTTATGCACTTGAAAGCAACACACCAGTTGCATGGCAAGCTTAATATCGACGTTTGATTTGATCAACGGATCAAACATGACATAACTACCATGTTTCACCGGATGTCCTTCGAACTCATCGTTTTTGTACAGAAAAACATGTCTCACCCATTAACTGCCACGGTTTGAGTTGGGCCGTCTACTTCCGTCGTTGAAAACCCCTCCCTTCTTCGCACCCAGGAAGCCCTGCAGAACCTCAGCACCTATGCCCAAGCCGAGTGCCGAGCCTCTGCCAACGAGTTCCTCTCGTCCGGGGCGCCCAGACAGATGATGCGCGGTCCGGACCGCGGGTGGTTTGCCGACCATGACGCTGCTAATACCTTTGTTTTGTTTGCGGAGAAAAGGGTGAGGTTGAGTTGCCCGGAAATCTCTTCTTTCGAAATATTTCGAAATACATATGTGATTCCCGGTTCCTTAAGCAAGTATAGCTGGTATATGTGATTCCCGGTTCCTTAAGCAAGTATAGCTGGTGTGGCTGTCTTTGGTCGTTCTGTATACATGAGACCTGGCCGTCTTTGTTCGGCAGGATGCGTCCAGTGACTCCGGTGACACAGAAGGATGAGACGACACGATGCGATGAGGCCGATGGCGGCCTCGATACACACACCACTAAAGCCATCCAATCCAGCATCAGAACATCAGCCGAGTTTGGAGAGCAGTTCCAACCAATAATCCCTTGACGGGGTCCTGGCCTATCCTCGGGACAGACCCCCCAAAAGCGCCATTCCCAACCACCGAACCTGGGGATGATGTACTGCATGGTAATTATGTGGTTGGAGGTGTAGGGAATATGACACGTTTGGTTGGATAATGACTTTGGTCCAGAATATGGTTCGCTGAGCAAGCTGCGGTGTTCGCACATGCAAGACATGTGGCACACGAGCAGCCGACCCACACTCCAGAAGTCTCTTCCAAGAGTGATTCCCTACGAAACACAAGTACCAAGTGCTCAGTGGACAATCTTTTACCAAGCAAGACCATGTATGTTTCAACCCACTCGTCGACGCATGGGAACGCGTATCACCTCTATGATCACCCATCGACCACGTCCAGCTGATCCCTCCCCCAACCATGACTCAGCCTTCGTTTGGCACCCGCGACCCGCGGTCCAGGTCCGTGGCGGACTTGAACTCCTCCACCTATCGCATCACGCTGCTGACCGCCTTCCGCCGAGGCACCGGCCGTTGAGACCAGGGGTCCGACCCGTCGCTTGGGAAGGACCTACATTGGCTTGGTGGACTTGAGATGGATTCGGAAGACCTGTTAGACTTCTTGAGTCTGAAGTCTACAGAGGGCTGGGGCTGTTGTTGGAGATCATTTGAGATCTTACATATTGTTGGACATATTATGACATATTCAGTGTTTCTAACTGGATACTAGCCTCTAAAACATGAACCGTGTGTTTGCAAGACTAAAGATCCCTTGAACTCTAAGAATGTACCTTTTGAGCTTCTCGTAGCAGGGATTGCTGTCAAGCTCCCGAGACCAGGAAGGCGTGGTTAAAAGAATGTTCTTTCCACATCTGAGGGTCATTGAGCAATGCGGTGGACAAGTTCTGTGTTCTGATTTCTGCAGAAAAAGATTGGGGACACCAAACTCAAAACGAGCATAAACGAGCCGGACAGTTCGGCGGCGTTCTCATTGGCCATCACGTGGAAGTGGAACATGGCTCCGAAAGGAACAACCAGTCTTTCCTCTGTCACCAGGGCCTTGCCATCACCGTCCACTTCCATGTGATGTGTTGGTCGGAGTGAAACCATCCTTTTCGGAGTAAAACCCAAGGGTCCATCGGGCTTGCTTCACCCATCTTCGGCTTCGGTGACCGGCCGCCCCCCTGAACAACACGGTGGTGATCTGTCCAGAAGGACAGGACCGTCTCTAACGACCTGGGTGTGTAGCTCCAAGCTACGGGCCTCCCGGTGAGTGGAAGACCAGACCAAGACTGCCAAGACCCCTTGGGCGAGGGGCTCCCCCCGATGAAAATACACACCCACATGGCCCACATGACTGCAAGTGTTCCAAAGACTTCAAGAGACCCGGAAGTTGTGAAGCAAAAGCTGTCAGAACGAGCATCTGGGAGGCTTCACTGGGATCCTAAGCATCCAGTTTCAGCTGGAGCCCGTGTCTTCTCCTGACGGCTCAGGCATGAGCTCCATCAATCCTCTTTGGTGCACCGATGCTGGTGCCGAGCTCGGCATGTCCGGTTCTTCGGTTTGGAGACACATGTGGGCTCGACCATGCTCGACCCCTGTCAAACACAAATCCTATCAAGGCATAAATAAATCCCTTTAAATACCAGTGCTTTTGAATCCAGTATCATTAATAATAGGCCTTTGGTGTGCCATTTGATGATTCCTGTGGTGTGGGGTTTAAGGAAGCGCGATTCCCAGGAACAAGCTCTGTAGTGAGCGATGCGATGCTCTTGGCTTTGCAGGTTTCAGGTGGTTTGTTAGAATGCACTTGGTTTGATAGGGTTGATGTTGCAGGATTCATGTGTATTTTTCTCTGGTTCTTGGACAGCAGATCAAGTTTTTTGTGCGCTCGCTTTCTGTGTAGTGGGTGGGTGTGGAGGATCTATGATCGAAGAGGATCTAAGATGATCTAGCACTGGCCCAAAGTGAGGTTGGTCAGAGTTCCCTTCTCCTTGCATCAATGCTCCCATGATGTGTATTTGTTGGTTTCTTCCTTGCATCGATGCTCCCATGATGTGTATTTGTTGGTTTCTCCTTTGGAACCGCTGGAGGTCCACATTAATCTCAGAAGAACTTCAGAAAAGTGCAAGTGTTGCGTGGCTCTTAAGACTCTTAAGAGGACTCAGAAGAACTTCATCCAACTCGTGGACCACCAGGATATGACAAGTCTCACAGCTTGAAAAAAGAGCCCATTGCTGCTAGTAACAAGAAGCTACTAGGTTGGAGGCCATCGCTATCAGGTTAAGTTTCCCTAAAAATCTAGAAACCAAGCCTTTAGGGCGGCGGGGGGGAGCTTCCGTGAAGAAGCGCGAGCTATCCTGCGTCCAGTTACTAGTAGCTTAAGTAATAAGGTACTAGCTACCTGGCTACTACTGGCTACCTCTAGCTACCTCTAGCCACTACCTACCTCACCTCTAGCGGCCTACCCTGCCCCCCCCAAGAAAGAAAGACCAACAAACCGCGGTCCTTTTCAGGCACAGCCTCCATGGAGACCTTCTTGCGCCAGCGCTGGGGGCAGCGCAAGCCGATCTTCGGCCCGAGCACCCGGTAGTCCGTCGGCGAGAACGGCGAGGTACCGAAGTGGAACAGTGGAAAGCTTGGCCCCCAAAATGACTGACTGGTGCGTCGAAAGCAGGGTGGCTGAGGGCTGGATCCAGAATTGACACATGGGGACGAGCTCCTTCCCTGAAACTACGAGTCGCACCAGTCAGATGACCAGTATCTTTCGACCACACACCACTTGCGGTTGAAAGCTTGTCTGCCCCTCAAAGCCCTAGTATACTGTCTGTGGGGTGCTAGAGGGACCCGTATTTTTCAGACCAGTATTGACCACCTAGTAATACTGGTCAGTGGTTTCAGCTTGGAACATGACCAGTATTTTTCAGACCCCATTTTTTATTGGAGATCATCTATACACACAATTCACCGGGCTGAGCGATGCTACTGACCTGTGAGACGACGGCCGAGGCTAACAGACCTGTCAAGGATTTGTCAGTTGGACCTGCTGGCGTTGGACACCAGTTTAGGTGTTGCTCAGATTTCCGTTTGGGTGTGTGTTGGTAAATCTTCAACAGCCCCGAAGCCACTGGTGACCGCATGGATCAATTCCTGTTTATTTCTAAGGGCGCCGAAAGGCTCTATGGGACCATGGCGGTCGATCCCAAGACCACCACGATGCTTCGACGATGCGGTAAACGAGTTCGATGCCAGACCGGTCTTGGAGTCTCGGGGGGTCGAATTCACTGGGAGGTTTTCCCTAGCAGCGCCTCACACCACACCCATGTCTCGCCAGCCAGGTCTGGAGGATGTGAGTGTGGAGTGCCAGGTGCGGCCAGAGACTCACTGGTGCGGCCAGGTCGATATGAACAGTGCAGACTAGCATCTTTGGGGAAGTGTTTTGTTCTTCTTTCTAAGACCACAAGACAAAAGTGAAGCATGTTGCGCTCCAAAGTAGAGTCAATGGAGCAGTGCATTCAAGAATTTGCTCGATCGATCTGCGGTTTTTTTCGGGGCGAAGTTGGGTCTACAGTTCCTGGGTCTGTCGAACATGGAGATGGGGCAACTGGGAGGTCCCAGAAGTTTCAGCATTCAAGAGCCAAACCTCAGTTCATCTCAATTTAGAATCCATTCTTATAGAGACCCTAGGGATCCAAGTACCTTCTCAGAAGGTGATTGGAGACTATTTATGTAGGCTTGGAGGGCCCAAGTACCTTCTGAGAAGGTATGTGGATCCCTAGGGAGAGAATATGAGTGAATATGGGACCCGCCAGGTTGACCAAGCAGCCTCAAGGCTCCCGAAGATAATGACAAGTCTTCTTCCACCACAGCTTCATCCACAGGGCTTCCGTGAGAATGTGGCCCATCCTTTGCCAGTGCGCAGCCAGGTCTTCACATGTCATATCGATGCTCCACTCTCCAAGGACGCTTCGGGACGCTTCGTCTCGCTGGACTGGTGCCGTGCTCAACGAAAAAAGGGACGGCAGCTGACGAAAAGGCGACAGGTCCGGACGTGCCTTTCGTCCCAGACATTGCACGGCGACAGGGCAACTTGTCCATTTGAGCCTTCCCCGAACACTCCAGGTCTTGTAGGTACCGTATATGTATTCCGGACCCTCGACCCAGGTCGCAGACTTCCAAGGTCGTCGCAGACTCACCTGGCAGAGTCGGGCCCCGCCATGCCGCGACCAGCCGCGACCAGCGGGCACGATCCTCGGATGCGAGCGGAAATCCACTGCAGAACCGAAGGGTCCCAGAGATGACGTCCGAGCGAACGTCCCGGAGGAGTGGACGTGGACGTGAAAACTGGGGTACCGTGGGCAGGTCCGAGCGAACGTCCTCACGTTCCGCTTTCTCAATTGGGTTCTCCGGCTGCCAGGTCAAGCCGCTCTCGCGTGGCCGCTTCGGCACATCGAAGACATAGACGAAGACTCCGGACTCACAGGAAGCACAGGCTACATCAAGCGGTGTCGCTCCACCCTGGCTCTGGATCCACCGGCACGAAAGAGATCCTTGGAGAAGGTGACCGTGATAGCGATGAGGCTTGATGTCAGGACCAGGAGCAGAAGGAGATGGGTTGGTCAAGGGGGTTTAATCGTTCTTTCAGCAAGTATTTTGTGTTGTTGCTTTCTCACAAATCTTTCAAGGCCCCTACAAGTTCCTACCATTTGAAGTATCCCTATTGCTCCCATGACTCATAATCATGGTAGCAACCAGCACAGCTTTGGACCACGAACTTCTATCCATCCAAACCTCCGCACTCCGCACGTTTTTCACGCTTTTCACGCACGGTCCACAGGCGTTCCAGGGGAACACGGTGGCAGAAGATCAAGAATTGGCCACGTGTGGAGTGCCCAGCGAACGAAAAACACGCAGTGCCGGCGGAACGAAAGACCTCAACAAGGCTCGAAGCGACCCTTTTTTGAAGCAACAATGCTCAAAGACTGTTGTTTGGCACACCCGAAAGGTTGGGATGAGATCAAGCTAAGAATCCTGGAGTGCAAACGAAGACATGAGTGTATTAGAACAGTGAGACGTTCCAAGCATTGGATGTTGGTCTATGTTTTCAGTTCCGGGTTTGCGGGTTTCTTTCCTCTATTTTAATACACTTTCTGCCACCATTGGAGTCATGTTGCCGAGCTTCGATTTGAATCAGGACTATTGGTTCATCCGGTTGTGTGTGTCAGACATCATCCAACCGCAGGGCTGAGTTGACACGAAGTCGTCACGGAAGCGAATGGCATGGTGTGCCTGGGATGAATATGTGTCCGAATACCAAACAGCTGGTGAACCGGTGAACTCCACCTCCATCTTCGTGTTCCCCGAAATAAACCTTTTTGTTCCATCTCTTCATGGACGTCCGGGCAGTTTCTTCAAACACCTGGACCATGTTTTTAAACCCCCCCTTCGGTCAGGGTCAGTTTACCGTACGATGGTCCGCTCGCGGGTTCAAAAAGTGGTGGTTTCTTCTCCTCGAGAACTCAAGAACTCCTTTGCCCAAAGCGGGTTTTGAGTGAAACTTCTCCTTAAGAACTCAAGCACTCGACGCCCAAAAAGAGCACGCACAGCTCGACCGGTCAGCTCGGAGACCCAACGACCCGGAACAAGGACACCAGCGGTCGTGGCTGGCGCGGGTGGTGTTCTTTTTCCCGGTTCCGAATCCCCCAAACTTTTGGGAAGTGTTTGGTTCCCGGGTACCTTAACTCTAAGGGCTGAAACCATATCCTCAGAAGGTGGTTAGACCCCAACCCCACCCCAACCACCTTCTGGGGATGTAGTTGGAGCCCTAGGGTACAGCAAATCCCTTCGAACAGGTTCATGATCGACCATTTCAACGAGCCCTGGCTTTCGCAGATGGCAAAGTACCAGGAGACTCAACAGCGCTTGGATTGAAGACGAGGAAGACAAAGTCTCCATGAATTGTTTGAGTGGAAGAATGGATTCACAACGTGACAATTTGATGAAGGAGTTGCTGGTTTCAAAGATGTTCGTTTGTTTGATAATTGCCTGCGATGAGGACGTCCCAATGATCTCTTCAGGTGAGTTGAAGCCTGAAATTTGCGAGGGGTGGGCTGAGTCGGAGGAGCCACTATGGAGTTTAACACTGTTTAACAAAGATGTCTTCGTCTCAGATGCAGTGGCTGCCATGTTTGAAGGTGTACTGTATCTTCACCTTCCAATCAACCAGCTCACATTGGAGGAATTCCAAGCACGGCGCAAAAACAGTCAAATCGGGTGTCCACTGTGTGGATCCAATCGAAGTGATTGCAGAACCACAAATCGGGTGTGAAGCAGTTGGTCCTGAGGTGTCCTGAGCAGATTTTCACCGGGCACATTCTGGTTGCAACCATTTTGTAACAGTTCACCCAAATGTATCAGGTGTTTAGCAGAAATCCCCTTGCCATGGATCCCACACATGCCGAGATGGTGTTTCCTTTCACTGCCGACTTCTCGGGATATCCCCTTGTACCAGCCGCCTGCAATGCCTGCATGCACCCAACAGAAACCCACCAGAAACCCGGCAAACCCGCCAAACCCGCGTGGCCGCGTGTGGAGGAGAACATGGAGCAGGTGATGAAGTGTGGTGACCTGGACGTCCTGACCACAGTGGCCGAAGGCATCAAGGAGCGAAGAAAGGGGAGGAGAACTGAGGCAGAGGAGATGGACTGCACGGTTAGCCCGAGTCGGATGGACAGGGCGATGCGATGCGTTTAAGCCACGTTTGAATCGGAGACTGGGCGGACTTGAAGGACTTGGGATGAGACAGGGCACGTCTCATCCGAGTGTCTATTCCAGACCAGCAGCCTGCCAGACAGGCAAAATGGAATGGAACAGAGGACAAAGCACCGCTTTACAAGCGTATACCTACTCAGTCAGTGGATAACCTGGAACACCGTTCACCCCCTTTGGGAGATGGGCGTCGGTACGCTCGATCTGGTCGTCAGACGTCCGTACGCCGTGAAGGGGAGCAACGTCCGTCAGGCGGCACGAGGTGTGAAGAACTTGTTGTATGTCTTCAGATGTGTTTCGGAGTCATCCCACTTGTGTGGGTCCAGAGTCCAGCTTTAGAGGTTTCACCCCCACAATCACACACCCGCCGGTTTCTGAGATGGATGTGTGTTTGAATAGGGAGACCCCCTGGAAGAAGGAACATAGAGCCAGACCCATTGTATTGGTTGCGGGGTCCGTATTTAAATACACACCCATCTGCTCCCCACAGCGTTGGAGTTGCGTATAGCTAGCTGGTACAGGTATAGCTAGCTGGAGGGTTCATTTGGTCGAGCACATGCCCGTGGTGTCTTCCGCTCAAAAAGATAGGGATCAGTAATGATCAGTAGAGATCTTGGAAGTAGATAGTATAGGTACACTCCCCGGAATCATCATGGAAGTAGATAGTATAGGCATAGTATAGGCCCCTGAATCCACCCCATGATTTGTCTCCAATATCTCCAAGCAGCTGGTTTAACCTCCAAGAGTTGACTTCTGCACAGCTGTTGACGGACGAGTTGATGAATCAATCACCCCCCAGAGTCAGACTGTACTGGACTCTAGTAACGCTTCATGTCGGGGTAGGATCGGCAGAAGTAAGGTAACACATCCTCGATCGAGCTGAAGCTCTTTCACATCTCTTGTCACCGTTCAACAAAAAGAAAACAGTGTTGCGCAACCGATTTGAGTAACATTGACCTGGTTTTTGGCTGATCAGGTGATGTGTTATTTTCCCGAAACTGGCCGAAAAAGACCCTTCTGGTGAATAGTTTTCTCCAGGTTCCTGGACAGCAAATCCAAGTTGACATGAACGGGCTTTTCTCACGTGTTCCAAGTTCGATCACCCATTGATCCCGCATTGTGTTGTGGGGTGAAAGGATTAAAGGATGTGTAAGCTTCCCCCCTTTCAAAGGGCCATCACGTGACGAAGCACGGCAGCATTCAGAATACAGTACGGAGATGTACAGCACATGCGCATCGCATGTTCTTGTGATTTTGTTTGGTGAGCAGGTGGGGGACCTACAGAACTCCCAGTCCTTTTCTTTCGACACCCGCCCCACCTATGGCTTCACTGCCGCGAGGATCTCCCACTGAGCAGCGAACGGAACTTGCAGTACAGGCAGCGGTTTTTCGATGGACGGGCCACCCCTGGGAGCGGAGCGGGAAGGGAGTCACCGAGGAGCATCAATCGTCAGCGTTATGATCATACTTTTGTCGGGTGAAGAGGGCGAAAATGAAGCCAAGAACCCTTGGCTGAAAAGGAAGCCTAAAACATGCCAAAAGCCTTGGAGACCAGCACCGGACTCTACAGGTCACCCATTGAGGCCTGTTCAGGCCCAACAGCAGAGCAGTGTAGAGTTTCTTCATGATTTCTTGTATCTACAATCTGATGATATCCTGATGTATTCCCTATGAACCATTGCCATGGGGCGTCGATCAGGCTAAACCGGTTCGAAAGCAGACGCAGAGAGACACCCTGAGGGCTGACCATGGCCGACCAACCATGGTCGCCACGCTTCTCTCCGGTTCGTGTGTTGGAGTTTTTTGAGGGTCAACAATCTGAGCATCTCTGAGCAATGTCATAGACCATCATAAACCTTGTTGAATGACATGATTTCGCTAGGTCGGCGATAGCCTTTTTTGTTATCTTCCAGCACCCTCCTAGTGACCTCCAATGGAGGCACCTGGTGCATGAAATATATGAAAATCACATGTTCTTTGGGTGATTTTTGATACCCACCCCAGGCCAACCCACCCCAGCCACACCGAAATGGCGGAGAGACGGAGCCAAGCCGGCCGTGGAGGGTCAACACTTGCCCCAAAACAGCAGAAAGAGCGAAAACGGGGGGGACAGCTCCGGGACAGCTCCGGACAGCTCTGGAGTTCGACCGCTCCGGAGCGATCGACCGGACCCGGTTGTCCCCGAGCAACGTCCGGGTAACCCGGGTTCCCTCAAAGCCACAAACGTTGCACGTCGTGTATGAGGTGTAAAATGGTGGGAGATGTCAGAGATTCAACATCCGAAGATTCTGGCAAGATAGAACAAGATAATTAGAACCAAACAGCAACTAAAGTGGACAGAACTAGCTGCGCGTTTAGAACGCCCTGTCAATGTCAGCTGCTGGTGTTCTGGATTGGTTGTTGCTTTAAACTATTGTTTTTTCCCACTTATTGGGCGATCTTTTGTCTTTTGAGGAAGAGCTTGTTTCTGGCTAATCCGATTGATTGATTGCATTTCAGTCCACATGAATGGCACCTTCCCGGCACAAATGGCTTTCTGCAGTTTCCCGCCAGGAACAACAACTTGGCTTGGGGTGTCCAGAAGGCCATGGATGCCAACCAGGACAAGGCAGAGTCAGACGGACAGCCTGGTGACCGGACCGGGTCGCCAGCCAGGTCTCCAGCCGGACAAACTTCCTGAGTGTAGAGGAACTGGACAGCCTTTTCCAAATGACCGACGGTACACATGGGAAAATTCCATGAAACTCAGACCCCGACCTAGCGTTCAAATCCAGTGTTTTGTTCACGGATGCGATGCAAGGTTCCATCGATCAACGAAGAAGATCAACATATACATGCAAGTGTTTGTGTAATGTGCAAAATGCATCATGAATACCATGGAAAAGATGTAAATATAGTAGATTTTAATTAACTAACTGTACAATTTGTGTAAAACAGGGTTGGCCAGCATGTTTGCTGTGCTGTTGACAAGTACTGAGGAGTATGTTCTTTTACTATTTCTTCCTCGTCTACGCATGCCTTCCTATCGAGAGACCGTGTTCAGCCCCCCCAGTGCCGCAGAACATCTTCTTTGCCATCCCGGTGACGCATCTGGTGGACGCCGCCGGGCGCACAGGCGCGGTGAAGCGTTGACGCGTGACCGGCGCGAGTGTTCGTCACGCCCCGTTCAGAAGACGCGCGCGGGTGCAACGCATCGCGCGGGTTCGACGGGTCGCCGCTGTTTCACCAGGTCGCTGTGTTCGACCATGGCTCTCATCCCATGCGATGCTGGGGCGGAACAAAAAGAACAGACCAGACGAATGGGACTGGAATGGCTGGTTGCCTACATTGGAGTCTTAAATAGTGTAAATGTCATGTAACGTAATGTAACTATTCCAATCCCATGGATGGTTTGGGTACGGTCGATCTCAAACAATCGTTTTTTTGTTGTGGGCTCCGTTTTTCCCGTCCTGCAAGCAGCAGCGACCCTTCGGATGCATCTGAGGTCGCCTACTGAGCCCTCGAAGGGCACAACCAGGGCGTGATAAACCACCCTAGACTTCCAAGACCACGAGAATTGTGTAGTGGTTGACCTGGTTTGGTGACAGTGGACGAAATTCTGAACCATGGTTGTTCGGGATTTGAACCGGTCGGCGACGAATCCTAACGATCACTGAGACATCATTAGCACCTTGTCGGTTCGTCCGTTCGGATCGTTCGGTGCTCCAGGAGTTCTTTCTCAGCTCACCAAGGCGAGGCACTCGGACCGACCGAGGACTTCCTCCGTTGGGGATGGTGATCCAAAAGTTTAAGGGTTGCCTGCACTGCATTCCTAGATTCCAATTCAAGGAACATGTTGTTGATTGCCACATATTACCACTATTCACATATAGATGTTCGTCCTGAATACTGTAGCATATTTACTTCATCAGCGTTTGTTGGAGCCTTTACCGACTGGTCCACCTCAGCGAACGGGCGGCAACTATCTTCAAGAATGGAAGGCCTGACGGGTCCAGAGTCATTGAGCTTCTGGGCACAGATCCGTGCACAGGGCGCGGCGCTTCGTCCAGAGCTGCTCTGCCGTGTCTATACACATCAACTTTCCAGATCGCCACATCAACTATTCAACTCGTTTTGGTATCTCATGGGGTCATTCTACCAATCCTGATCCACCGTGATCTGTGCGAGTCAGTCTGTCCGCTCTCCCGTTCTCCTTCCACCGAGCCCTTCCGTTCGCTCTCCGCTCGCCACAACCAGGCCGGACTGAACCCCGTGCGGCAGACGCCGGCCGTGGCGGCCGCTGAACGCTGCCAGGCGGGGTGGAGCCGCCACGTCCGGACCGGGCGGACCGGAGCACCACGGTGGCACGTGAGCACCACGGAAGGGCCCGGGTGTGGTAGAAAGGGCCAACTAGTCAGGGCATGTAGACTTAAGTCCGATCCCACCACCGTGTCCACCGTGTTGGGCATGTGACCCAATGGGTGCCTTGCACCATTGGATCCCATTGGTGGATAGACTTGATTCTTGATCCGGAAGAAAGAGTGTGTGGAGACAGAGAAAAATAGATCCCTGTACTAAGGGTGTATCTTCAACATCAGAGTCCCTGGGTTTTGAAAGCCCACACAAAGCAATGTCCAGCTCATCACGATGGTTTGAAACCAAAGCAACCCTCCAGATCCAAAAGCGTGATTGGCAATGGTAGTCTTTGAACCACACAAAGATCCATTCAACCACATCCTGCAACGCAAGGATTCCAATTCATGATTTCCCATGAGTTGGGATCGGAAAGAGTAGCTGAGTAGCTTTGAGGTTCGGTCAAACTCATTCTCATCGAATCACAAGCCCAAAACACTCGGAACTGGAACATCTGCCGTTTTTGTGAGCACCCCTGGCACCACCCCTGGCCGTTTAAACAGGCAGTCGGCAGTCCCAGGTGTCGTGTTTGGGAAGTGGTGTTGATCGGAAGTGTGCCGCCCTCACGGTCAGAAAACTGCCCAAAACTGCCCAAGCAGCGAATCAAACGAAAGAACCATGTGCTTCGCAGGGCCCTGTTTTTGCCTGCAACACTGCTCGGCCATGCTTGGCCACTCCGTCGCTGCTGGCAACGATCTACCGAACCCTGTGATGTTGCTCCTTGGTCTTCACAGTCTTCCACAAAAATGGCTTCACATCCCACATGGCAACACTCACTGCTGCTCAAGGACGTGAGTCTAATCTGTGCCGAAAACGCCCACAAACTTGAGGTGCTTTGCCCCTTCTGCTTGTGCTGTGGCCTTCACCTTTTGAGTCTCAGATCTCTACCTTCGGACCTAGATGAGACCTGCTCATTCTTGACAGCAAAGGACACTTATGTCCTGACGGTCCACAACAGTCCTTTGAAACAACTGTGTTGTGCCAAGTGCAGATGGCCGCCCATGGAAGAGCTCCTGTTCTCTTGTGTTCTCTTCTACCTATCCCGGCCCTTGGTAGGAGTGTTTCATTTGTGGCTCCAGCATCCAATCAATTAATGTATGAAAACATCTATGCCGCATCCATAATGTACATAGTGCACTGACATTCCCGTGTATAGCCGCGCCATCTCATCTTGCGCCTGGAATGGCCCGCATCGGTCGCGCCCTTTCAAAAGGTTAGTGGAAGGCCTTGCAAAGAGTGGCTATGGCCATTCGGATGGTACGTAACGCCAGTGGCCTCGGCCCCGCCGTATCAGGCATGTCAGAACGTGCTCCTGCGGGAGGAGTTGGCAGGAATGCCGCAAATGACGGAATGCCGGGCCTTCACTTCGCACACGATACGATCCCCAACAGCCCTCCGGTGTCGCTTCAACCACATGCGTTGAAGGGTGAGGCGGCACCCTGGGTCGGCTGAATTTGGGCGGGAGTTTGATTCGACGTGTGACATCAGTGAGGTGAAGTTTCCGATCCGGCTGAATCCGGCTTGAGATTGATACTTAGCAGCGACAGCTGTCTCGACATCAGAGACCTCATCCCAAGCCACCTGCAAAACGCTGCATTGCAACACATGGGAACCGCTGCCGCAACAGCATGGAGATTGCGGTCTCAGACGACCGAAGAATCTTCATTCCCAGTCAGTTGACCTGCGCGGAACCGAACCTATTGCTTTTTCAAAAGTGAGGAGGGCGATCTTTCTGAAGAGGAAGGGCATGAGAATCTATGAGGACAGTTTCAATGAGCTCTGATTTGGGAGACACTTTGATGTTACCATGCTCTGAGAGACACAGTGAGGACCATCAAGACGTGGCCAGTGAAATCCTTTCTGAGGACGACAGACACACAGAATAAACAAACATATTTGGCCATCTTGAAAGCATTCTCGAGGACACTGCGCATCACAATGAAAAGGATTCGACCAAGGGGTACTCCCACCCACTCCACTTTTCCCACAAACTCATACAAACTCGACTTCTCAAGAGCAGTTGGAGGCCAGGCACGGCGCCAGGGTCTGTCGAAACCGCCCCGACGCCCCACCCACTGTGGTGTCGGTGTGAACGCCTGGTTTCGGGGAGGGGCTATGCCGGAAGGACTGCCTCAAGCATCGGTAACCCCAAGACAAATGACTTGGAAGATATCTCTCAGGGGCGGTCCAGAATCTAAGAATCTAAGAATTGAAAAGATCTGCAAAGTGAATCCATTTAAGAATTGGATCACATCCAGCTCAGATGGAAGATTCATCCTTGAAAAAAGGTGGTTCCAGTTCCGATCTGGTTCTCCTCATCCTTCCGAGGCCTCCACGTACGAGGCTCCCGGTGCTGCGGCTTTAGACCACTGCCTCAAGCCGCCCGCGCAGGCGCGGGAAATCTGTGCTGAGGGTCGAAGCATCTGAGAGGCAGTGGTGGATGGAGATGATTCATTAGGTTTGGATACAATTTGGATATTGTGTTGGTCTTGTTTTAATGTGTATAGTATATTAAGATATAATAAGTGTATACAAATTGTTGTTAATATTATAAGTAAATGTAGAGTTGGATACATCTGGATGTTTTGATATGTGTGTCTTGTTTATTGTGCTTCCTGTTGGTTTAGGACTAATACCTGCCGACCGCAGCCATCGTGGCTTGTGGTCACAGACCTCAGCAAAAAGCACCCCGTCACTGGTGGGTAAGTATGGTGGTCCCATGCCCAGACACTTGATGGAACTGCCATGTTTTACAGATAATACTATTTAATATACTTAGAACACTGTTTCCAGGTACCATATACCATGTTTGTCCAACATATGTTCTAAGTATTTGTCCGTGACTATACATTTTTATACCTATATCAGGGGTGCTTTCGGAGGTGCTTCCAGGCACCTTCTTTGGCTGGATGGAGTCATCGCCCATCCAAACGCCCAACTGTTGCCGATCCGCGTTGGTTTTGGGGGTCACTGGATGTCACTGGCAGCCATGTAAAGATACACATGGAGGTGTTTGGGCAACGTGATTAGCTCCAACATCAGGTCCAACTGTTTGTGCGACCTCCAAAGATCCCCTGTCGGCGGATGGCCGCTTTGAGCTCCCTGATTTGAGCATTTGGCCAGTCGCAGCCACTGAGCTGCATTCAGTTCGAGAAGCAGTTCGAGCAGATCCTGGGGAAGGACGACGTTCGGCCATCCGCGCGTATACCGGTTCGACGGCGCGACGGAAGGGGTAGCTGGATCGGTGAAAAGAAGGGTGGCCAAGACCTTCAGGTCTACGAAACCACCGACCGACCTTGGAAACCGTTTGCAGATTGTACCATGTCATGCAACCAGGTCCTGAAACCACTGTAAACTACGCAACGAGTGTTTACCTTGGGGACCTTGAAACCACTGTAAATGTCCATGCAGCTCTTCCAGTCCCATCGATGGCCCTCGGATCTCAGATCCTCACCCCGCAAAAAGACACGTGTCGCTGAAGACGAACGAGCACTCGCAATCCTCCTAACCTCGCCACTCTTCGATCGATCGATGCAGGACTTCGGCCTAAGAATTCGTTCTTAGGAACTTCTTCGTTTGGAGTGAGGAACAAAACTCCATCCCGCAAGCCGCAGGGGTCGAAACAGGTGATCCACTTTTTCTCGGTTTTCTATGCCGAAAACGGAGATGGAGGTGTGCTCTCCCGACCTCCGCCACCCATCGGTGGTGAATGATTCCATCCTCCAGCGAGTTTAGGTGGGTTTTTGTGTGGTACTCCATGTTTGAGGTACAAATACGGCTGGACCTTATGGGATGAAGACATTTGTTTTTTCGATGAGACACTAATAACCACAAGATCGTGTGACATGAGGATTCGTTGATGATTTTTTGCCTAAACAGTACGTGTCCAAGCTGGGTCACGCCTATTCCAAAGTTCCAGTCGAGTCAATCATCCAGGTTATGTTGTCCCACGTGCGAGACAGGTTTAAGCCAAACAAGTTGTTGGGAAATGTTGGGCGTCCGCTTTTTTCGATCTTTGAATCTTCGGTGTTGGATTCGACCCACCGGGTTGGGTGTTTCCAGTTCCCAGATTCCGACTTTCCCTTCCCTAGCACCTTTTTTTTAAAGAATCAGTTTTGGGGTTCCCACAATCGGATTTTGTGTTCCTTGGTTATTTTGGGTTCCCGCAATCGGTTTTGGGGTTCCCTAGGTGATTTTGGGTTCCCTCCACGGTATTTAGGGTTCCTGCCGCTATGTCTCTTTCCTTTTGTGGTGCTTGCATCCTGTAAGCAATTGCGCTAGCAGATGGTGCCCAATGCCAAACTAGCCCCGTTAGTACTTCTAGTATTCCTTGGTCAAACTAGCTCCGTCACTACTTCTAGTATTCCTTGGTTGTGGCCCAGTCTCTTTCCTTTTGTCGCCTTTTGCCCCATACTTAGTCCTGCCAGTTGGTCTTGGCTCAATTTGACCTTGGTCTCCCCTTTCAATGCCATGCCGTCATGGGAAAATGTCGACGAGGCCCAAAAGTGTATCTCTCAACTTGCTGCGCAACATGTTCTTGCTAAATTTGTGGAACCCCCTTACCGCTGTGTGCCCACCGGAAGTAGTGGTGGTGGTGGTGGTAGTAGTAGTAGTAGTAGTAGCAGTAGTAGCAGTACCAAGAGAAACTGAAACCGCAGAAAAGTTAGGGTCAGTACAGAAAGCCGAGACTTCTGCAGAAAACCTAGGTTCTTGAAAAAACGACCTTTCAATACCTTTCACAAGAATAGTCTCCATCCACTTGGATTCCTCAAAACCATTCAACATCATTTAACTGCACCCCCCTTGAGCGCATGCCTTTTTTTTCACTTGATGAAGCCCATCTCATGCCAGTATGCATACGATACCGCCAAAGACCGCTGTAACACGCGCAAAATCACCTGTCCCGGTCCAACTCTGCGAGCAAGCCGAGCCTTCTTCCCTATGAAATCCTCGTCCACCTGAACCCCAAACGTTAAGGGGTTCAAGATCGCACCACGTGATGTCGCACAGCGCAACATCACGTGGTGGACGATGTGAGCCTTCGGCATATAAGGGTAAAGCGCTTCCCCCTGATCATGGGACACTTTCGCAAGTTGCTGATATAACTGGAGAAATTCCATTCCTTTTCCACCAATCTGATGGCTCAAGGAAGGCTCCAACCATAAATCCGAAGAATACATGTCGTGAAGGCAAGTGTTGATTGCAGACGTTGCGGCCTTGGCCTTGGACAGGATGATGTCATCTGATACGTCAAACCTCGCAAAGTAACTTTGAAGAAAACGCAACAAGACTGTACTGACGTGGCCTTTGCTCCACTGCCCGTTGGGATAGGTTTTCCTATCATACCATCCGCAACTTTCCTTCGTCAGCGCTGTGATGTATGTAGGTTCACGGTGCTCATCAGCGAAGGTGAGGAACAGCGATGTCAAACGCTCAAATCGTGAGTCGACTGTACTTTCTGGGAAGCGATCTGTGATACGTGCCAATGTCGAAGCGGCAAAACTTTTTGCCATACCAAGATGGAACGCATGCCACAAGTCGTAGCTGAAGAAATCTGCCGGCCGTGATGGGCAGTGGGCGAGGTGAAGAAGCACGGGTCTCACTGTCCACGGCTCATCGCAGTACATCGTCTGAAGCCATGAAGGGTTCAAGCTCAGATCCTCGAAGTCGTGCTCCAAACGCCCTGCGTGGCACAGGTGGCAGATCCCTTTGGGCTTGCTCGTTTGTACCAATGCTTTCTTCGGAATGTTCAAATAGGATCGTTCCAAGTGGCCGCACTTTTGGAGCCATGCCCAATCTCCAACTGCATTCAGACAAGCAGCGTGGTACCGTTCACCATGCTTGCCAGTGACGCCCTGCTGAAATGATCTGAGACAATCGCCTGTCATGAAAGTTAAAAGGTCATCAAGCGCCTGCTCGTCTTTGTGCATCTTGGGTAGACACCCAGTGATCATTCTGCTGGAGTGGGTGGAGCCCACGTAATTCAATCGAAGCTGCAGGTAGGATTTTGTTTTTCTGTTGGCATTTGCTAAAACCGTCCCGAATCCTATCATTGAATGATATGAGGTCACCAGGAAAGGGCCGCGTTTCCGGCCGCGCCCCTCGTCGCCGTGCATCACGACGGGCAAAAGATGTTCAACTTTGATACCATGCTTCTCAATTTCAGCCCACACCTGATGGTCAGGCTCAGCAAGCCGATACAAGCGCCAAAACTCGCGAAGCAAGGCCCTTTCCCGTTTCGGGTCTGCATTGTGCAGGCCTAGTAACATATGCCAGACGTTGTGATCGATGATGAATTGAAGCCAGCTTTCCAAAGCGATCACGTGAAAGTTCCCGGAGTAGCGGACACCAGGAGATTTCTGAATTTCTCTGATGGGAACAGGGAGCTGAAGATTGTACTTCCTGGACACTCGCTCAACATCCCTTTCACTGTTGCTTAAAGTACACCGGCTCAACTCTATGAGACCACTGCTGGCTTCCGCAGCTGTCTCCCCGATATCACTCACAACTCCACGCGCTGCTCTAATCACAGCTCTGCAAGTCGAGGCCTCGGCGTGACGGGCGCAATTCCGGTGGGAATTGTGCACCCGGGGAGAGAAGCAAGGACACATAAGAGAGAGGGATAGACATGTCAATTGGATCGTTTGAAGTGCATCAGGATCTTTTCAAAAGGTGGCTTGCCCTGCAGTCAGCCACACACACACACTGACACTTGCAACGTTCATGGTTGTGCAAATGGATGCGCTGCACTTTTGCCCTGAAACTCAGAAAGCTCAATCGCAGATTCATCGCATGTGCTTTTAATTCAAGCACATCTGAAAATCTGACCACTCTTTTTGCGGCTTCTACTATAATATTCCCAGATCATGCACATGATGTGTCTATATATATTCAAATTGTGATGCACAGCAATCACTTCGGTTTGAACTTGAAAGACCTGTACACTACATAGCACATGGAGGCTCCATCCGGCTGGTCGGTGCTCACAGTGTCTCCCCCCAATCGCACATTCCTCGATCCAGGTTTACCTGGGCCAGTGCATGGTGTGGGTTGCCCGAATGCCGCAGCCAACTTTATTCGCTACATCGCTTTCGTAATGGCAACATACATGTCAATCTGACGCACACATATATATAGGACCTGTCCAGTGATGTCCAGTGCCTACATCAAACAGTCATATCAGCAAACAAATGCAGCCTAGATGCTTTGATATTTCTGGATAAGAGCGGCTTCTAGCATTGCCGTAGAAAATGGTTCAGGCGCAATGTGCAAAACGACCATGTTGGACCACTTGTCTCTTTCATGGCAATATCCATACAAATCATTCTCCCAACGCCAGATTGGGTTGTGGGTCCAGCCAATTTTGAAGATCATAGGATACCATTTGGTGAATAACCTTTCAAGAGCATTGGTGCAATGCTCAAGCACACGCCCAGCAGAAACATTTGCCGGTGGTAGATCAAAAGCTATGCATGGCATGGTGGTTGCCTCCTTGGCAATGCCGACAAGGCGGGTGTTGCCCTGAAGTTCCGGTGGTATTTTTTGGAACCACGGGGGGATCTCTGAGGCAATTGGTGCCGAAGGTGCACTTTCATGGGATGACGCATCCCCCAACGATCGGTTGCCCGATGCCAGGCACTCCGGATCTCCACCAGAGCACGGTCGCCCGGGCGGCATTGCCCATGGGAAAGGGCCTTCAGCTTCCTTAATGGATGGGTCGGAGAGATGGTTGAAAGCTATATATAATCGATTTGTTTCGTACCATAAGCTTGTGAACGGATGTGAGAACATATCTTAATTGTTACATAGTGCCTCTGATCTCCTCTGCATACATGGGATTATGGTCATGTAAAAATACCCCCGGCCTATGTAAATCCTGGAAGCCACACACAAACGCCACACTATATATAGTTCAAACACACTCATGTACAAAAGACCATGTATATGGGTGACCTGCACACCTTCCTTGTTATGACCTGTATATTATAAGTGTTTTTGAATAACTATGTAGACCCAAATGTGGAAAATAAAGCCCGGATTTGACTTTTGGCATCTGATGACTTCGGTTCTTTCATCCCTTGCCCGTGAAAGATGACTGCCAAGGGTCCGTCCGGTGACAGCACAGCAAATCTAAGAGTTCTTCTTCAGCGGTTTCGTCATCCATTGCTCGATCGACTAGGGTCTTCGGAGGCTATATAATTGTGAATTGCCTATATACAATATATAATGCATATAT